ATGCCGTATAATCCCCCCTACCTAAATTTCAACCAAAACTTTGATCATTTCTAATTTCCCCCTCATACCATATGCCTACCGTGACCGTCAATGTGACATCAGAATTTGTTGGACAGCAGCTGTGCTTGTAGCTTACGTCATAATCTATTTATTGACTGATTGTGAGTGCGTCATAATCAACGAGAGGAAAGCTATCAAAGTGGTTGCAAACTTAGTTCCCAACCTATTAGAATAGGCTGCAGTAAGAAAAAGTACAAATTCATAAATTTTGCACTTCGAATTTCAAATTGAAGTTATTTTTATTCTGTTAGAATTGAGAGAAACTGATTTGAGAATTAAGTCTGGATAGCAGAATAAGTACGACTTGATTTCTTCCTTGAATCCGAATAAACAGAGTCATACAAGAAAAAAATCTACATCAAAGATGACAAATGAAATGTTGGCTAATACGCGAGGTGCGTCTCAAAAACAGGAGTATTCAAAGAAGATCGCTTCGTAAATGATTTGTGTGATTTATTTTCTATAGGCAGATTATGTTCAAAAAACAGCAAAACGCTCAATACTGAACCACTCATATGCTTGTTCAAGCTCTTTCCTAAAAATTAAAGCACTTTTGAAGTATTTCCAAAAATTGAGCTCATTTTAAGTTGCGCATTCCCTTGCTCTAAACTGATCCATGAATTCGCAAAAAAAGAATCATCTCACAAAACTTCTGCTTTGTTGACTGCTTCATCTTGTAGATATGTGACTCACATTTGTCACTCGAAATGCAGTTTCGGCAGTGCATTCAGCTTTACTTGTAGGATTTGAGAGAGCAAAGATGATTGGTCTAGTATTTATCCGCGCCATTTCGCTAATGACTTCTTCGGTGAACGCACCAGCCACTGTCGAGGCACCTTAATGTCATTTTTGAGAAACACAGACTTTGGTAACGTTGTATATACCTACCAATAATAGCAGCGGGCTTCACCGTTTTGACAACTTCCAGGAGGCTCCTTGTATCGGGTAAATCCTAAAGTAATGGTTGTGCAAGCACTTCTCGACTATCATCATACCTTAGCAAATCGAAGATGTCGATCTGACAAGGTCGAAGCGCGACTCTTGGTGATCAAGCCATCGATGTCCATCATAAAGATGTTTTTGCAAGCTTCCTGCTCTGACAAGCCCTCATCCACCATCTGTCGTACGCACATTTCAGCCACTCCGGTAGCCGCCTATAATCTGTGATTATTCGTCTGTGTCATATATGTCAGAGTATCGCTTATGGAAACATTCTTTCTTTAGATAGTGAAAAGACGAATGTAATCACTGAAACTAAACCAAGATTATTGGAATACAACTTCCCACACCACAAAGGATTTGAAGCCAATTTTCAATATCTCCGCCTCTCGAAATATTAGGTGGATCTGAAAGTTCGTGCCGTTTTTCAGATCCATGCTCAAATCAGT